GTATATTTAGAAATTAATATATATACATATACATAGTTTTCATACATATACATATATATATATATATATATATTATATACATATATATATACATATATATATATATATATATGTACATATAAATGAATGAATGAATATATTTACATATATATGCATATATATGTGTATGTATATATGTATTTTTTTCTATCAACGAGTACATAATTATACATGCATATATGTATATGTATATTTCATCAAATATTGTATAATACATATTATGTATATACATATATACATATATGTACACATATACACACACACACACATGAACGTGATATATATATATATATATATATATATATATATATATATATATATATATATAATTATTATGTATGTATATATATATATACATATATATACACACATGCATATGTAAATAACACACACACACACAACACACACACACACACACACACACACACAACCACACACATAATTATATATATATATATATAATATATATATATATATTCCTAAATAAAAAGATCAAGTAATCAATATATTTACATATACATATACATTTTTTTCGGCTCATTCTGACCACGTCTTTGTCACGCACGAAATCTCATGCTGACCTGTTTGTTCTAGAAGAAAGAGGTTGCAGCCATTAATGGTGTTTGGAAACTGCGCCTTCAAACAAAAGGAAATTACAGCACATTATGCACGGGGATTTTATATAATTTGTAAAGGGAAATATTACTTTATAAGTCTACATTTCAAACCAGATTACCTAAATTTCCATATCTAGAGAACAAATATCCTTTGGGACGAAACAAGCGAAAGGAAGAACTGAATAAAGGCACAGCGTTGACGAGGGATCGTGCAAACCTGCCTGCCTGGAGTAAAAGAAGGTTTTTTAAGTAAATCTAAAATAAAGGAATGGAGAGGAAAGTCTCGTCAGGAATTTTTAAAAAATCTGAACTTCCTTTGTAGATGCTCGAGATAACTCGTTTTCTTTCACTAACAGCCGTTGAGGCAAGGGCGTCCACACACACCACACATATATATATATGTATATGAATATATATATATATATATATATATATATATATATATATATATATATATATATATGTATAAGCATTTACAAACTAACACGCACACACACGCGCACACATGTATGTATGTGTATATACATATGTGTGTTTGTGTATATATATATATATTTGTATGCATATACATAAATACATGTATAAACATATACAAATTGACACACACATACACTAATGATATTCATCATGCTTCTCTTAGATCTTTAACGAACTTGTATTGCATAATAATTGTATTATATATATATATAATAAAAGAAAAAGAAAAGAAAAGAAAAACATATTCGAATTGGACTTCGCCGGGACTCGAACCCGGACCGACGGTTTCCGAGGCCGACGCGTTACCCGTTACACCACAGAAGCCATCTTTTCAATGCTGCTGCGATGTTTACATAATGTATGGAATGGACGGTTTGAATTGACTTTTATTTTAAGAAAAAAGTAATAGTATTTAGCTAATAATATAGTGAACTACTTTATAAACGCATTGATACGGATATAGTACTTGTACACTTGTTCATGAATTTCTCTCGCATAATATTCATTGCCGTAAATCACGTGATTTCACAAGGCCCTTCTGAGTGCGAAGAAGCGAAAGACGAGCAGCTTTTAACGGAGAGAAAAGACGAATTAAAGAAGACAAGCGAAATAGTGAAGAGGAGAGAAGCAGGAAAGATGATATAAAGCATAGATACTAAATAGGAAGAGAAAGAAAGTAAGAGGGATGGAGTATATCGAATTCGAAAGGAGAATGTGTAACAAGTGATAACAATGATGACGATAATAACGAGAATAACAGTAAGAATAACAAAATGTATATTTCAAAGACTACAAATAATGATAATAATAATGATCATTATTATTGTTATTGTTATTATAATCATTATCATTATTGTCATTATTATAGTAATAATAAAATGATAATGATAATACTAATAAATATACATTGTAATTGTAATGAGAAAATAAAATAAAAGTAATAACAATAATGAAATAATAATAATATTAATAATGACGATAATACTAATAACAGCAACAACAATGATAAACATAATAATGATAATGATGATGACAGAACAATGTTAATAACTATAATAATAATAAGAATGATGATGAAAGAAATAATAATAATGATAATATCAATAACAACAAATAATAATGATAGTTATAAAGATGATCATGATAATGTTAATGTAATAATGATATTTATAATGTTGACAATATAATAATAATAGTAATAATACTATGATGAAAATAATAATAATGGCGACTTATAATCGTTTTATAATAACAATAATGTTGTAAATCAATAACATAGCGATACAATAACAGAATGATAATAATGAATGATTGATACTAATACTATTAATAATGATAATAATCGATAATAATGACAACCAAAGTAATGATGATGAAAACATGCAAATGATGAAAATAAAAATAATTATAAAGATGATATCATAAGTAATGAGGATGATGATAATAATAATAGTAATAATAATAATAATGATGATGATGATGATGATGATGATGATAGTAATAATAATAATGATGATGATAATGATAATAATAAAGATGGAATAATGCACTGCCGATTAATATCATGAATTTATAACCTTCTGACAGGGATTCGAACCCCACAGCCATGCGCGTGTGAATCCTTTGCAATGGCGGTGAGGGTTCGAATTATTATTTTCATCTCTCTCTCTCCTTCCCCCTCTCTCCTTGAATTGCAACTTGAGTTTCCTTGCTCCGTGACGATTCAAAACATGTCTTGCTAACGGTAAATGTGTAAAATGCTCTTTTTGTTCCTTGTGTATTAACTTTTTTGTTCAATAAACTGTGTGGATCCTGTTTAATTATCAATTGCCGTTGGTTTGCTTATTCGTGTTTGCTGGTACTTCAAAATGCACGTGTTGCACTGCAAGCGATCGCTGTTCCACGGAGCCCGATTTGGCGCTGTTGATCCTGCTTCCGTTTCATTTTGATTTAATTGATTAATTAAATTTTTTTACTTCTGTTATATATTGGAATTCTTGTGTAAAGGAAAAGAACACGACAAGAAAAAAAAAAATAAAATAAAAATATATATATATATCGTCTCAGCCGGGAATTGAACTCGGGCCTACGGTTTTGAAGACCGTCATGCTAACCGTTACACCACAAAGACTTCTCTGATACAGATAGTTCATAAATGCTTTAAATTGTTCACAAACAGTGATGCACGGACATGACAATGGTCTTCAAAACAATGATGAAGTTGGTGACGGTGATACGATGATAATGATGATGATATTCAGAGCGAAAGTAATGAAGGTTATTTGTCATCATGGTGGGGATAGTGTGTACATGTTATGAATGAGATAGCAGTATTACTTAAAACGACTATGATGAAAAAGAAAGAAAACGTTAGTATAACACTAATTTATGTAATGTTACATACATATGTGTGTGTGTGTGTGCTTTCACCCAGAGTAAAATGTCATTAAACGTTAGTGTATACCTGCCATTGTACTTAGATACGTCCAATCTTTAAAAATGAAATGAAGTTATCAATTTTTTAAACTCTTTTCTTAGGTCCTTCAAAATCTGTTTTTTCTACAATATTCAGTAAAATGGAAAAAAATGCGTTCGAAAAATAATGTAGAGTTTTGTATGTAAATTAGGATTTTCTCTCTCTCTCACACACACACACTATTTTCCCTCTATCTGCCTACTTCTCTTAACTAAGCATTAAGATAAACAGAAAATATCGAGGAAGCAATTTGATTTAGGGAGGTAATGTCATATGTAGTAATCTCCTCAGTTTTTCTGCCAGTTTCTGAAATATTACGAGAAACGTCTAGGTGGATTACGCACACTCAACTTTGAAAATGCGTTTGATAAGGTAAAACAGTAAGCCATTAGAGTAAATTTATTAATCGAGCTGAAAGAGTAAGAAGAGAAAAAAAATCACGTGAATTAGGTTAAAAATCCCGCGTGTGAGGCGCCGTGTTGGCGGGCGTAAGAGCAATCCCTTCCCTTTGAAATTTAAATGTCCGACGCCGCGTGTCGTTATGGTTTGAATTACTACACATCGCGACACAGTTCCTTTGTCAACCTCGGCGCCGAAAACAAAGTAACATATACAGCCAGGAGTAGTACAACCAGATTCTTACTTATTTCTGAACATGAGTGGAAATCAGTTCCAATCTCTAATTCTAATTATTGGTGTTCACTCGAATTCCTGTTAGACAAAATCTTGTTTCGATCATAAATTTCATAAATTTTCTGATCAGGTAACAGTTTTTACCTAACTACAGTACGTTTTCAAAGGCAAATATAAATTGATATACCTTTTGTAAGTCGCTTTGAAATTATATGCTTTAACAATAGTGTATATGTATAAAAGAATACTCATCTTAAGAATCTTCGAATAAATTCACATACCCTTTATATATTTTTACCAGATATTTATCAACCTGAGTTATCAGAAGTTCTATGACCCTCAATTCGATGACATTTGATGAAAGTCAATCTTTTACAGTCAGTTTCCTAGAGGCTTTTTTCCTGCCATTTGTAGGCGTTGGAATAGATTGACTTAAGAAATTGTAACTTCTCCGACTCTTGATAAGTTTAAAAAATCAGCTAACATGTTTTTCTTACGTAAATAGATAATTTTCTATCTTATTCTTTCTCAGCTGTATCTTGACCTGCACTGACACATTTCATGGTTTAAATCTTCATTTTCGCAAAGTGGCTCTTTATATAGCTTACAACAACAACAGCACACAACAATAATAGTAATAATAATGATGATTATAAATGGTATCAATATAGAGAAAATATAGTTTCATGGGAACAGAGTCAAATGAAATATAAACAAGATAATGTGAACCACAACGATCCATTTCATACCAAAACAAAAGATACCTATCCACCACTGGATCCAGCTGTCACAATGCAATAGTAGTAGTGTTCACACCTTGGTAGCTGTACTGTCTGGTTTGTTTTCATTCCGGACCATAGGTAGCATTCATTTATTTCATCACACTGTGAACTACAGTGACAACAAACCTTTCATAATATATAAGTAAACATCCAGCCGCTGTAAAAAGGAGATCGTGCAGTTCGTTCTATGCTGCAAGTCCAAAAACTCTGCAACCATGATTACACTAAATCGGTTCGTGTTTCTTATCTGAAGTAGGCAAAGTGGAACGAAAACAACGCTAAACAAGACAATATAACATTATAACCTCTTTCCTTCCTTCCCCATTTCCTGCTCTATCTTGAGTTTTCTTTTTTACCTTCATCACTTGTTCGTCCTCTTCTTCCTGCTCCCATTCTTTGTCTCATATTACTAATACAATCATGATTATGATAAGAATAACAAAATTGCGGGAACGCGCAATTCAAGAAAAATATATGGAACGGTAGGTAATTAGATAGAGATGCAAACAGAAATTCGTGCAATAAAATAATGAGGTCTTAGTATCCGTATTTCTTATCTGAAGTAGCCAAAGTGGAGCGAGGATAACTAAAGGAAAGATGATAAAACTAAATTTGCTTCTTCTTTTGCCTCTTTCCTTCTTTCCACCTATCCAAATCCAACTCCGTCTTGATTTTTATTTCTTTCTCTTCATCACTTGTCCGTTCTCTTCCACACACAAAAAAAAAATAATAAAAATAAATAAATAAATAAAACGCTCCACTTCCTTCATACTCCTTCGCATTGTAAACACTTGAAAAAGAGAAACAAAAGTAGAAAGATATATGGAAGGGTAGGTAAGCTGAATGATGGAAACAGGTAATCATGCATTAAAACAGGTAGCTGATAGTATCCGTCGGGGATTGAACCCGAGTCTGTTGCGTAAGACGCAAACGCTATCCACTACACCACGGAAACATGTATAAGAAGAATATTACTACAATTATTGTGTAGTTTTTCCGAGAACAAATATATTACATGTGTATTTAATGTTACATGTGTGTGTGTGCTTTCATGAAAAGAGTAAGATGTTAAACATTATTGTATACTATTGCACTGAAATATGTCCAATTTTTAAAAATACCTCTTTTCTTGGCTCCTTCAAGAACCATTTCCAAAATATCAGTAAAAAGATAAAATCTCCTATCTTCCTTTTCATCTCACATAAGCAAGATAGAGAAATCCTGTTTTTTTATTATTTCGTCCTTTGTACTTCCTTTGTTGGCATGCCCACTGCTGTCACTATTATCGTATTACCAATACTTTTCACAGACCTTTATCGACATTACAATTAGAACATTTATTTTGAAATTACCAGTGAGCCAGATAGTTTATTTACAAGAATTCCATTCTTGTTTGCATCTACTTTTATTTGTCGAAATTGTGGTTAAAGGAGTCAGCAGTAATAAGTTATTAATACATTCCTCGAACACACATAATACGCATCTCGCTTCATTACATACCTACCTAAGTTATTTATGTCATGCATTCGTTCACCCGTTTACACTTAAGTAAATCCCTCTACACTATTCATCTCACTGCTTTCATATTCTCACGAGTCCATTTAACTGCATTCGTTCATCTCATGCCTATTCCCTTTGATGAGTGTTGGACAACTATGTGCTGATATCTATTATACAAAAGTCAAGGTATCTACGCCGATGATTCCTGCTCAATATGTACTTTCAATTATTCTAATACAAATGGCATTTCTCCTCAACTCGCTACTTTCTCTTTGTAACCCTTTAGTGGCCACTTCAATGCTGGTCCCCATTTAGGGAAGTTCGGTTGTGTTCTCCTGATGAGATCAATATCCAAGGTAATCCGTTCTAATGCTTCGTCAGGGTTAACATCTCGGTGCAAAAAATCCTTTCGCTGTAAGGTCATATGCATTCTCGACGCCAGTTCTTACACATTTTGTGTCCCTAACGAGTAGCTGAAGAAGGTCCATTTGGTCTTAATCCTACTCATCCTACAAAGAATGTTAACGGTATTTTCTTAGAAGCGAAATAAATCCAATTTATCCCTGAGAGTTCCATAGGCATCATCTAGCAATTTGTCTACTTTTTTTTTATTTCGTATTCTCATTCTTTCTGAAGTTTGATAATCATCTTTATATTGGACATATCAACGATGAAATCAAGGGTAACGGTCATTTCTTATTTTTTATTTTTTTTTTTAGTTGCAATGATAAGTATGGTAAGAGTAATGACTATAATCATAATGCTTGGCATATTGATAATGAAAGCAATACTAATAACATTAGTAATAGTAAAAACAGGAACAAGAACAAGAACAAGAACAATAGTGGTAATAACAACAATAACAATGATGATGATAATATTAATGATAATAATAGATATAATAGTAACACTAATAACTATAATAAAATAACAATGATAAGAAAAATGGCAATGATAATGATATAAATATAAACAATAGCATAATAATAATAATTGTAACAGTAACATCACTGATCATGATATTAATATTAAAACTAATACAACGACTATAGGTAATAACACAAATTGATATTGACAATATTAATGACAATACTGACAATAATAATGGTAATTATAATAACTGTAATGCTAATATTCATAAAAATAATTGTAATGATGATAATGATAACAATGATAATAATAACAACAACTACTACTACTACTATTAATAATAATAAAGATAATACAGATAATAGTGATAATAACATAGATAATGATAATCACAACGATGATGATGACGTTTGTGATGTGATGATGATAATGATGGTGATGTTAATGATGAGATTTAGAACAGCACTAATAACAAAGGTTATTATTATCATGGTAGGGACAGTGTACACATATTACAAGAGATAACAGTATTACCCAGAACGACATGATGCTGATCTCAACAGACATGACTTTTGTCAACATGGTTGCGAAGGGCATCCGAATTAGTATCCGATTGGACCCTAAGAAAATGCTTTGCACAGATTAGGTCTTATCATTTCATTGTTCTTGTATCGTTATTAACAGTATGTCGTGTTCTCTGTGCTTTAAATTGTTAACTTACAGTTTTTTCAGGTAAAATACCCATTCAGCACATTTGTTTGGTTATGTGTGCGCATGGTATATAAATCTAAGCCTTTGTATATTGTAATACATACAACATGTTTTTAGATATGTACACAGTGTTATATCTAGTTGTATGAATTGTTCATT